ATATTACGTTACGACCTTCAATGGATTGTCCTTATAACTACACCAAAAGGCATCAAAAAACGACTTCTAAAAATTAATAAAATTATTCATAAAATATAGGAATGAAAACAATACCATTTCATCAGTGATGTCATTCTTCTCTTGACTAGATGTCTTCAGTACAATGTGACTTGCATGTATAACCCCTTCCAACAAACACGTACTACCAGAGCTACAGGTAAGATAGTATAAAATGTGTTGCAAATTCATTTGAAATTAAAGCCACTCTCACTTGAGGGATTTCCACTGCTGTCTGACAATACCAGTAACAATAACATCATCTCCAGCTTTACAAGAATCCACAAGATCCCTCTCTAACACAACCCAGACAGACCTTGGAATCTATACATGTACACAAAGACAAAGAATAGAGAAAAGAATGAGAGAGAGAGAGAAAGAGAGTAAAGTAGAAGAGATAGGAATGGAGGGAGAAAATCACTTACATATCCAATCCCAAGCTTTTGTACATGTTCCTGCATTCTTATCTCTTGATAGTCATGGTAGCTTGAAGACTCTGTAATAAACGTGACTAAGGAATAGACAAATAGAAATCAGTACCCTCTTCAACTGAAGAAAACTTGTAAGAAATACAACCATCAACAAAGCACCTACAAATAAACACATAAAATAACAAGTATTGCTATAAATCATATTTAATGTTCATGCGAATTCTAAATTTCTCACAGTGAGGCACATTTTAAGCACAAACAATATCCAGGGCATTTGGAGCAACATTAAAAATTCATAAAAAATAAATTTTGATCGGAATCAGCTCAAATTTTTCAGACAATATAAAGGCCTTTCTAGCTACACTTGAACCGGTTCTGGAAGTTGGCTTATTAATGCGCATTGAATGCACATCAAGTGATTCCACACTATCTTCAAGATCAAGTATATTGTGATAGCATTTCTGATCCAGCTGCCATTGTTTATGTATTGAATGCACATTCAAACCACATATGGAGGTCAATGCGCTGTTTCCTGTTCAATTTCCTGTTTTACTATCACTTTTCCTTCAAATTGTGTGTGCCACTGCTTAGGTACAGTTTCATGGATTAGTAAAGTGTATGAATCAAGTTAGCAAATTAATAAATTAACTATAATGAAGTAGCTAAAAGCAAGAAAAACAAAAACCATGCAGTACATGTACATGTATCATTAACTGAAAATGACTATAAATACACATGTACATGTACATGTACATGCATCAATTAATGGACAATGTTATGAAGACAAATTGAGGTAATACTGTCCATGCAGTATAGCTAATAGGAGGAGCACATGAAATAAAAGCTGAGATCCCTCCCTCTATCTCTCACTTCTCATTATTTCAAGTTTTCTCATTCAATCTATTCTCTCATCAACATTATTCTGATACACATGTACATGTACATACATGTATAATGGTACAGTACATGTAC